TTCTGCTGCAATCACAACATCATGGCTACGTAGGAGAAGGATCCGGGTACTGAAATGGCCAGCCTGCAGTCCAGATCTTTCACCTATAGAGAACATTTGACGCATCATAAAGAGGAAGGTGCGACAAAGAAGGCCCAAGACGATTGAACAGTTAGAGGCCTGTATTAGACATGAATGGGAGAGCATTCCTATTTCTAAACTTGAGAAACTGGTCTCCTCTGTCCCCAGACATCTGTTGAGTGTTGTAAGAAGAAGAGGGGATGCCACACAGTGCTAAAAATGGACTTGTCCCAACTTTTTTGGGATTTGTTGATGCCATGAAATTTGGAAACAACAGATTTTTCCCTTAAAATGATACATTCTCTCAGTTTAAACTTTTGATCTGTGATTTCTGTTCTATTCTGAATAAAATGTTAGATGATGGCACCTCCACATCATTGCATTCAGTTTTTATTAACAATTTGTTTAGTGTCCCAACTTTTTTGGAATCTGGTTTGTAGTTTTCACTCCTGTAGTAATGAATTATTGCTAAAAAAAATAAGTTTCCTACAAGGATTACTACAGGCTTGAATTTACAGTTCAAAGTCTAAATATTATGGGGACCACATTTGCCTGTAATCCTCTGGTCAACAGCCAAGTAAAATAGCAACAATACAGGTCTCCCACTGATGGTACAGAACATTTCACAATGTGAGAGCTGAGATTAATAATGGAGGAAACACAGTGTCCATTTTTTGACTGTAGTTATGAGGTCTGACCTAATAAATTAACCCAAATTTACAGCAGTCATTTATACTGTATAAATGTCAGGTAGATGAATGAATACACAATGATAAGAAATTAAAAACTGACGACAGTAGTGTTTCACCAAATGCAGGAACAATATTATTTGCAATATTTATGAATACCTTTTACTGACTGAACACACACATGCTTCTTTTGACTGAACGGTTTGCTGAATGAATGCACGTGCTGTAAGTCAGCTGAAAAGCTGAGAGGCTGTGACAGACTCGTCTTTTTGTCAGGACAGGAAGTGTAAAACGAGCTGCCACAGAACTCCATTCACTTTCTGCTCCAGGTTTGACCCCCGCTCAGTGGCTCAGTCACAGTCAACAGGTCCAGGTAACCTTTGAGCTGACAAAACGGTACGCTGGTTCAACACGACACCACCAGCACACACGACTGAAAACGTGTTTATTCACAGAGCACTGCGGTGGTACGGTCCGCTTCTCCAGCTGACAGGGCCGCTGTCAGCAGATCGAGGCCAAGTGAGGCTGTGCACAGGATGGAGCTCATTATTAAACAGTAACCCAAGTTGAACCACAGGAAAATCACCATCTGGCTCTGCAAGGTGATTACTGGAACACAGTTATTTAAGACGGTGAGCCGGAATGGAACCCAGTAAACAACCTTCCCGCCGGATCATCCGAACTGGCGGGAAAAGGCGTGGGACGTAGAAAAAAGGGGTCCCTTCATGTCAGCCGCCTCCTGGGTTACGCCGGGCAACCCCTGAGGGCGCCGTCGGCTGAGAGCGGTGTGATCGCCGATGCGAAACGAAGTGGGATGGGGTGAGCATTCACTCAGCCCCCCTCCACCGACACTACGCTTTCCAGGAGGGAATGAGCAGCGGGGGGCTGCAGCTGAGCGCCGCCTGTCCCGGAGGAACCATCCGATTCGCTCCGAGGGTCGGCGATAAGAGGAAAATTACAAGATGGCGTTGTCCAGCGTGTAGTGTGACCTGTCACAGAAATATTCCTCGGCGCTTACCTTGAAATAAGACTGCTCGTCAGCTTCTCCTCGGGGAGGAGAACTCACCGGACGACCGGAGGTCGACTGCCGGGCCAAGCATCCTTAACAAAGGTTGGTCATCTACACAACTTTCCTTCTTTGTTCTTCTGACAGTGCTATTAGCTCGCTGAAGAAAAAATGGGAGCCGATTTCCCGCTCTTAACGTAATTTATACGGACCGGGTGGGGCCCACACAGCAAGTGAGCGTGGACTAAATTTTTTCAGTGCAATGCTACTCATAACGGGATAAACCCACCAAGCGACAGCCTTAAAGGGCGAAGCTTATACGAAATAGAACCTGCACCTTTGTGACCTCTGCTCCTTGCAGCCTCACTGTTCCACCAGCCTCCCTCTCATTCACACATGTACTCTGTCTTACTACGGCTGACTTTCATTCCTCTTCTTTCAAATGCATACCTCCACCTTCCCTGAGTTCTCTTCCACCTGTTCCCTGTTCTCACCACAGATCACAATGTCATCTGCAAACATCATAGTCCACAGAGATTCCTGCCTGACCTCATCTGTTAGTCGGTCCATCACCAGGGAGAACAAGAAGGGGCTCAAAGCTGATCCTTGATGCACTCCCACCTCCACCTTGAAGCTATCTGTCACTCCTACAGCACATCTCACCACTGTCCTGCTGTCCTTATACGTGTCCTGCTGTCCTCATACATGTCCTGCTGTCCTCATACATGTCCTGCTGTCCTCATACATGTCCTGCTGTCCTCATACATGTCCTGCTGTCCTCATACATGTCCTGTACCAGTCTAACATACTTCTCTGCCACTCAAGATTTCATCATGCAAAACCAAACCACCTCCCTCGGCACCCTGTCAGATGCTTTTTCTAAATCCACAAAGACACAATGGAGTTCTTTCTGACCCTCTCTGTACTTCTCCATCAGCATCGTCAAAGCAAAGATGGCATCTGTGGTGCTCTCTCTTCATGAAACCATACTGCTGCTCACAAATAGTCACATCTCCTCTGTCTTGCTTCCACAACTCTCTCCCAGATCTTCATCATGTGGCTCATCAACTTAATTCCCCTGTAGTTGCTACAACTCTGTACATCACTCTTGTTCTTAAAAATGTGCACCAGCACACTTCTTCTCCATTCCTCAGACATTTTCTCACCCTCAAATATGCCATTGAATATTTGAGTCAAAAACCTCACTGCCATCTCTCCAAGACATTTCCAGACCTCCACTGGTATGTCATCAGGTCCTACTGCCTTCCCCTTCTTCATTCTTTTCAGAGCTTTCCAGACTTCACCTTCACTAATCTTTCCAACTTCCTGGTCCACAGTTTCTATGACCTCTACTCTTCTTTCTCTTTCATTCTTTTCATTCATTAGCTCCACAAAGTACTCCTTCCATCTTCCCGTCAACTTGTTAGAACATTACCATTCCCATCTTTAACAAACTTAACCTGCTGCACACAGTGATTCAAAAACGACTTCCGTAAAAGTAAAGAAAAAAAACAGTGATTCATGCAAATGCTGTTTTATAAACCATTATATTGCTGTCAGTATCTCATTACACTGAATACTTTGAAATTTCGGGTTGTTTTGCAAGTGCAAATAAATGCAGCAGCAGCTAGCTGTAGCAGTTCTAGTGCAGCTTAAAGTGTTTTTTTTACAATAATATAAATATATTTCAGCATAAATATCTATAACATAAAACTGATTGCAAAATGTGCATGAAAAGCAATGGTTCTGAAGACTGGAGGAGTCTAGGTCTTGCTCAAACTAGCTGCTAGTTCATCAGTCCTGTCAGAGTTAAAACATTTCTTCAAACAGATTATTCAAAGAGCCAACTGCAACAAGTAAGATAATATTTATTCAAAAACTGTGCACAGAAACACGTCAAAAAGCTGAAGTATTGATTTAAAAAGGCATGTCAAATAAAAGTAATTAGACTACTGATTAGCAACAAGGTAATTATAAATATCTACAAATATATTTAAATATGTATTACGAACTTGACTGAATATCTCCTGATGCATGCTCAATAATCCAGGTAGAAAAATCTAAAAAAGTTAAATCTGGTCCTCTGGACATTCAAAAAAACAACGTCTCTCGGATGAGAGACGAAACGTTTCTACATTTTTTGTTGATTTGCTTTGTTTTGTTTTTTTGAATGTCCAGAGGACCAGATTTAACTTTTTTAGATTGACTGAATATCATTGTGACAACAATTAAAATAAAACTTAAGTGCATAGTAAATATGTGAGTTTCTTCTTGTAAAATCTCTACTTCAGACATCTAAAATGTTCCTTCAGGATATGAGTATACTGTACCAGTACATGTAAAATTGCGCAATACACAATATTAAAAATGTTGCAACATTTGTCCAGGAAAGATTTAAGTTTATGAAATGTAAAATAATGCTTATGGAATGGAAGAAAACCCTTTTAAACCTAAAATTGTATTTTTGAAAATAAGGACTGTGATTACAGTAATAAATATGTGGTCTAGCCCAAAAAATATTATAACAACCATTTAAAACTTTTTAAGAACTTTTTGATATCTTGAAAGTAGTATTTTTTGAAACAGTACCAGTAGTGGAGGTTTGGAAATATAAGTTTAACCAACAGGAATGTTTTTAGATTGCTAAAGCCTAAAAAGTCGTTTTGAACAGGAGAAATGTGATGAATAAAGTTTTTCTTTCGCCTGCACTCTTCTGAAACTAAAGAGGTGACAATTGTTTTTACACCACACGTGCTTTTGTGACGCAACCTGGGCTCGAACCTTCAGCCTCAGGATTATGAGGCCACAACACTGACCTCTGATCTACAGCCCCATGCAAATATGAACTATATTATTAAATTAAAAATTAATAGACAAGAAAAACAAGTCTCTTGTAAATGAGTCCTCAAGGTTCAATGAAACTAACCTGTATAAATAAAGGTTGAATGGAAAAAAGATGCATTGATTATATAGAATGACGGTCTGCCATAATAACGGAGTGAAAGTGTTATAGAGGCTAATGGATTTTCAAATATACACATCGACTTTTGATTCGTTTAGTTTTCTTACAGAAAAACAACCTAAATGTCAATGTGTAAACCAGCTTTTGACCCATGTTACACCTTGAAGGATTAAAAATAAAACTATTTGAAGAACTAATCATCCGGTTCCTTCGCATCAACAACTGCCTCCTTGTGCTAAAGCTAACAGCTAACGGTGGCTAGCTGTCAGACATGTCCACTCACCTCATGTTTTCTATGTCTCTGCCTCCGCTTTTCAGCAAACACAAGGGAATCCCCAACAAGGCCAGGAACATCATCCAGGCCACGTAGAAGAACTTTTTGAAATAAAAAACAAAGGTGCTGCTGGTCCACATCAGGAGAGGGAACAGCAGCAGAGGCACCATCCACAGTCCATCCATGGCAGCGGAGAGCAGAGACTGGCAGCCCGGAACAGACAGTCCCTCGCCGGGTCGGAACAACAGCAAGCTACGGTGGAGATCGGGACAAGGGATTCACCGAAACCCCCACAAACATAACCCAGTCAGCGGCGCTCCCGTCAGTGCTGCCCGCTGAGAACGATGATGGAGCGAGCCTGAACGGAATGCGCGTGCAGAGGCGCTCATCTGTTGCTAAATGGCATCGAGGTGGAGTCACACCGACACCGAGGTTTCTGCTTCCGGTCGGATCTGATGTCTCGCAGCTGTCTGCTGCAAAAATCTCTCTTCTGCTTCTCTTTTGCTGACGATAATCCTGTTAATAATCCTTGGTTGTTTGTGAGATTAAAATTATAGTTAGTGTTCAGAGATCCTGTTGGTTCCTGGCTGCTTCCGAACTTTATCTAAAAATACGTTGAAACAGGAAGAAGTTAAAGAGAAGAGACCACTCAGGGTCAAAACCCAACATGACCTTTGTGCAACCTCGTGTTCAGAGCATGTGTTGTGAATGACTCTCAGCTACTACCACATCAAAGTTTAGCTCAAAATCTACTGTGGTGGCCACTTTTAGAGCTGCAGTATCTTCAACTGCAGTGCTTCCAAAAGTTAATTATTTGTAGATGTACATCCATTGATTACTTTCTGGATGTTTGAGTAAAGTTTCTGCACACAAACATGGAGTAAACATTAGTGCCTGGTTTTACCTTTTGGCAGAGGCTGATCAGAATCATTCAGGGTCAGAAAAATGTTAATTCTCTACATTAGTAATGATTTTATTGTTTTTTAGACATTTACACTGTGTTTAGTTCACTGCTCTGAGTTAATCCAGCTGTGCAGTGTTTAGAACCAGTTTGATATGAAGATGTTTAGAATCAAGCAAACTAATTCTTGTCCTTGGTAATTATATCAGTCATAAATGTTAAATTTATCACCAAGTGCACTTATCAGATTCCTGCTTCCACTGTTACATAGTTTTTATTATTTTCTGTATTCCTAAAACTAATTATCAGATAAAAAAAAATGAAATACTAAACTGTGAGAACATATTTTAAAAGTGAAAAGCTAAAAGCTGAACTCTGACATGAGTTTCATTTCAAGATGTTTTGTGTGACGTGTAGCATTTACTCTGGTGTCTACTTTTACTGAATAAATAATAAACATTAAAGTTTAAAATTATCCTATTTATGTCTGAGTTTTAGTCATGTCTTCGAAAAATTGTGTATTTAAAGATGATATGACAATTGGTGTATGATAATAAAAAATTGGATAAATTTATTCCTGGCTCCATAAATTACAGTAATCTTCGGCCGTCCCAGGAGCTGCCCAGTCGTTTGAGGAAACTTTAAGTAATAAAAAAAAGTTGAAATCATACTTTCCTCAAATGATAGGGAGGCTAGTTTACACACAAATATCTATCTATCTATCTATCTATCTATCTATCTATCTATCTATCTAT